AATTATGAGTAAAAAAATTGAATTTAGCGAAATCATATTACCAAAAAATAATTTCGCTGAGGGAAAAACTCATCTCTTCAAGGCCCCTTGATTGGTCATAAGACGCTCAAAACTTAATGGACCGAAAAGACCTTACTCTGTACTTTAGCCTGTCTCCTACCTCATTTTTGCCTTCCTTCTTCATCCTGCTCCTTCCCCGACCACTTGTTGACACCCCTACATACGCATAATAACAGATTTGTATTAGCACCCCAAAAATTTAAGCCGCTTTCGGACTATTTCCGGATAATCATCGAAAGAGAAAACCATCAGCAGCATTTACCAATAGACAAGTTTAACAAACTGTTATCACATGAGTCACCTAGAACGCTCTAACTCTATCATACTTGAAATATATGAATTAATGTTAATTCATGTTGTGGTTCTCCATTTATGCAGGCTGTAAATCGCCCAAGCTGCTTTGACCAATGCTATGTCGCCGAGTGCTCAGCTTACTAGCAATTCTTATGTTTGTTTTATTTTGTGATGGAATTCCCAATTCAGCGATTCCCTCAAAAAACTGTTTTGACCAGTGCTGCATGGCCGTCTGGTCAGTTTGGTGACCAATGCTGTATCGGCTGGTGGCCAGCTTGCCGGCGCTCCTGACGTTCGTTTAGTCCCTAGGAGGATCACCAGCTCAGCAGTTTTGCTTTGACCAATGCTTCTGGAGAGGAACATTCGGCAACACTTTAACCGTTTCTAGGTATAGACGTAGAGAAAGATTTACCGAGAATATTTGTATTTTTCCAACACAGGCAATTTCTAGGCAAAAAAAAGAATTTTTCCAGTCATGAGCCTGTTCCAGAATATTCGCACAAATCCATGGATATCGCGTGGTCGTCCATCTATTTGCAACTTTGCGTACCCGTCATTGAGACCACCAAATGAACCGATTTATACGTCCATGGATCTGTCGTCGTCATCGCTGCGCGTTAAAAGTCTAGACGAAAGTACGTGTAGCTCCGGCTACGGTAGTCAAGATAGCAGGTAAAAACACCCCCATTAATTTTATATATTTTAACTACTGAACACACATACATACATACATACATACATACATACATACATACATCATATACATGCAAATATAAATACTTATATAAGTACATACACGCGCACATTCCCACACACATACATATATACATATACGTGCATGCGCACATACATACACACAAGCACATACACCCACATATACAGCATACTTACATACATAAGTACATATACAAATACATACATACATTCCCACATACACGCACACATATATACATA